GTGAATATAAGGGTAAGGGTCACTGTGATACCGTAGTTAGCGAGGTGGTATGTATATCGCATCAGCGTTTCTTTACTCACTGAACCCATAGCCGCCATGGCTGGATCTCTTTTCCAATCTTCAAGTGTGACAAGACTTGAGGGTCTAGGTTCGGATACGGCGCCAGTAACTCTTCCACCGGCATATCTTCATGTCCCCAGGTATGTGTAGAGTAATCGCCCACTGAGCGAGGGAAGAAGCAGTAGTACGACAAAAGCTTGCCTCCGTTACATGGCGATAGAACAATCTTATCCCATTTGCCCTCTTGGCCTCCCCAATATTCAAGCGCGCTGTGTTGCGAGTAGTCCATTAAACCTAGCTTGACAGCTTCTTCTGTGGTAACGTTTGCGTGAAGACAACTTTGCTCGGATGGCCGTTTTGCTGGATGAATGCCAATCTCGCCGCGAACAACCGAACCGATGCCGTCTGCGCCAATGATGAGGTCGTGCCGGGCAACAGCACCATTCGTAAATGTGATTCTTCCAGCATCAACGTCAATCGCTTGACACTTTTTGGTGTGAAATTAGCACATTAATCTTCGGTGCATACTTGATTCGTTTACTTACTTGGTGATTCACTTCTATCTTGGCTGGCGTCCCCTTCCCCTCTTCTCCCAGCGCAGAATCCTTCAACATGGCATGCATGTACTGTCGGTGAAACATATTGTAGACATACCCCCACCTCTTTTCGTAATCGTCCAAGTCATAAACACTGACCGGCTCGCCCGTCTTCCAATCGCGGTTGATCAACTTCTTGAGTACGACAGGATCCCCCTTTGCTACATCAACGCCCCATTCGTGAAGCCATCGCGTGCCATTCGCAGCGCATGAGACTGAAGCGCCGACTTCACCAGCAAAATCGTGCTTTTCGTAGATGGTGACTTCATGGCCAGCGCGACGGAGAGCAATGGCAACAGACATGCCGCCGATGCCACCTCCGACGACTCCCACATTGAGGCGCCTCCAACCAGAAGGGAAATCTGACCTCATTTTGAAAGAGAAATAAAGGTTAAAGATGATGTCGAGTTGGCTCTGTCTGCTTGTGCAAGCTACGTTTATAGGCAGTTTTGAATCACAAAAGGGAAGCTAGCGCTGGGCAAAGCTGAAGTTTATCTATCTCGTGTCTCTCATATACAGCTATCCGTGGAGCGGTTAATCACTCTGCGCTGATGATTTCGATCGTATACGCCCGTCAGCGAATCCGTCATCGCTATCTCTCTCCTTGCAGGCGCCATTCACGTCACTCCTTACACGGACACCGAACTGGGAAAAGTTGGTAGGCTTATCACGGCTGCTGGCGGCTATGGCCCCTGGACGCGTAGATATCAGGTGCAGTAGCCGCCACAGGGTCGCAGAAGCCGCAGCTGGGAATTTCATGTCTTATCTGCCTCAACGTGTTACTCGTCATTAATCAACTACGCCTAGCTGACGTTTAATGCACCTTTATGCGCGACAAATCGTATGCAACCTCTTATGCAGCTACATTAGGCAGATGCCATCTCCCATTGCCGCTGAAGTTTAAATATAGATAGCTACTCGGAGTACTGCAATCTTACATATCATGTGCTGCATAAGTCATCCACACTAGTTCCTAATCAAGTTCTGTATTCGTATTATAGTCTCGAATCAAAAATCATCACTTCTAGAAAGTCTAACAACACAGCCCTGTATCTGGGTTGCAAATGTAATATGAACAAGATTTAGAAGCCAATTGTCTATCAGAATATCGCCGTCCAACGCCGCCAATGCAAGATTAGTCTGATCCAAAAACTCTCGGACTATAGAATGGGAAGCTGTCCCACTGAGACAAATCGAGAATGTCCCATCCCCGCAACATATCTCCGTCCATTTCGGTTGGTTGACCCGAAATATCTGCCATCCAAAGCCCACCAATGTCCCCACTTGCTGGCGCTGTATTGTGTTGGGACAAAGCCACATCGTCGCTATCGTTACTGTTCAGGTTGCTATTGTCTTGACCAGTATCCCCTTCTTTGTTAAAGGAGATCAATTTTCCGACATATCTGCTCCGAGGCCGCGTGGGCGTCTTGAGTCGCTGCTTCACAACTGCATCAGAAAGTAGGGTTAAAATTCCCGAGTAATGGGCAGCTTGGGGGCTTTGAATGCCCAAGAAATCGAGAACATCTTTCGCGCTACGAAAGGTCGTTTCAACCTCATAATCGAGCTCCTTTTTAGCAAACATGTCGAAGCCAAGGATGAGGCCGGCGGCAAAAATAAGTGCCCTGAATGCATTATTAGTCATAGTTCTTTTTGCTTTGCATATAAATACCTTACTTCATTATACACATATTGCCAAGAAGTAGCCCTGACTTATGTGCGTCTGAGCACGTCTGCACCAGATACACTGCTGCATCAATGCATGCGGACGCCAAAGGTGAAGAAGAAGGTGACGCAACACCCTGGCGAGAAGTAAGGTTAGATATTAAAACTGGTCGAGTGACCAAGGTGATAGCGAAGTAGTAGAGACAGGCGATATGTATACTGTCCGTTGCCACTTTTCGTGATGAGGGGCCTTTTTTAGAAGTAAGGGGATTGCGTAGAAAATTGGGAAGCTTTTGGCTCCAATCTTCAATTTTACTCAAAAATTGTTCCACAATAGCGGTAGATGTGACTTTCTTCCCATACAGCGCGTCAACGCTCTCATTAATAATGGTGAGTATATTATAAGACGCAAATAAGCTTTGATAGCTTCTGGTGTCAAGAGACGTAGATGAACCAATGGCGGTAGTATCGAGCTCTGCCCTCAGACCAGCTGTTGCAGGTGGTCTTCCCAGGATAGAGCATACAAGCATGTCTAGTACACAGAGGCTCATCCATGTTCGTAGCCTGTTGAAGTCATGAGTTAATTCAGGTGAAAGTTTATTAATGGAGACTTCAATTAACATACCTCAGCTGGCAGAATGGATTTTTAAGATCTGCATACGAATGGCGGCTATGCATCCCAAGAGCAACTGCGGCTCTTGACGCAATCCCCAAGTACATGAAGGCTGTGTTTCTTCGGCAATGCCCAAGCATGTAAAAGGCCATGAGAAGAAAAGCACGCACCATATCAATAGTAGGATCCTCCAACATGCCGGAAAATGCCCGTTTCTGTGCTTGTCGAAAATACACTGATCCAACTTGCTGCGCGTCCATTGGGGAATTGCACTGCGCGCCAATGGCTACCACGAGATCAATTGAGGCGTGCTTATATGAGCTTATGGATTGAGGTCCATCAGTTCGGATTTTCACTAGAATATCTTCAACCTCGAGTGGTCCAAAAATATCCAGCAGTCCCCCAGTCTTCATATATAATTAGCATTGTAATGATGAGGGAGAGACAGTTGGACGCCATGCTTACAGCAGCTTCATATATGCGAGCATATAATAAACTATTTTCTACATCTAGATTATAAGTAGTTGGCTCCAAGTCATTGGAGTCCACCGCAGCAGAAGGCTCAGTCTCGAGCATACTATGACGCTTATCACTTTGCGAGAATTGCGAGGGCCCGATTTGGGCCGTCACTGTATCTCTAATGAGCTGAAGAAATGACAGAGAGGCTGCTTCGCCGATGTAGACTGTAGTTACCTCGTTAGATGAACACAATGTTGGCAAATCAGCTTGTGAGCAGCTTACCTTGCTCTCCCCGCAGGTTCAGAAGCATACGAGCGTGAGACTCTGGTCCTTGAGCTGGAGATCCAGTATTTGCAGAGAGGTGCGGCGGCTCTTGCGTGGATCTGGAGATGGCCTCATCTGGAAAGCTTATTCGAGAATCAGATGGAGTGGGAGGGTGATATTCCCCATCAGCATCATTGTTCATTGAAGTCGAATCGGTCTCCGGACCCCAGTTCGATGGAACAATATTGGCGAAGCCATCTCGGCCCCAGGCAGAGTCATCCTCCGGATTATGATCTCCACCATCCGGCGACGACCGGGCCTGCTCCGGCGCAGAGGCCCTTGACCGAGTCGAAGGTTTCTTCCTCCAGCCTCGAGGCTGATGAGTCAGGACACATGATGCCCCAATGCCGCGTCTCTGGCAAGCGGTGCAAGGTACTGTGGCACTACATCGCTTCTTAGAAGCGCGGCAGAAGTTGCACGCCTCTGCAGCGCGCTGGCGCTGACTTGGATGAACCTTGGGCCGTGGCATCTTCTGACAATCAAAAGACCAAGGCAACGGGTAGGGGATATCCGCTCAAGCCGCTCTAGCTTAATCGCGAAGGAATTGTTTGGAGAATGGGTAACAGCGGCTTTCAGGTGTACCAAGCGCGGCTTGGTTTGTCTCAGGGGCCATCCCCTGATATCACCTGTTGAATACACCCCTGGCCGACGATGACGAGGTTGGTCTGGCAGTCTCGGTGAATAGATGGAGCTGAGATATTACCAAGTCTGTGTCTGGTGACCGGCATTGGCTGGGAGATGACCGTATCCGCCTACAGTATCATCTCATTATATACTGTGCGGCAAACTCCCTGGTCATCTTCCCCGCTTCCTCTATCAGCTCCAGATTGTTACTAGTTTGTATCTGCCGCTAATACCCACCGCGGTCTCCTCGATCTTCTCCAATAGACCGCGGGGAAGGCCTCCGCTAGGACGGAAGTCCTTCATAGCCCCTCTGGTGTCTGCTAGCCTCGATCTGTATGGAGCTTCTGGATGAAACGTCTTGCGTCAGAAAGCAATTATTGGTCCTCAGCCGACATCATGCGCAAGAGGGGGAGTATATTGGGGGGAGCGGCTATGAGCTTGAAATGCGCGCGAATGCAGCTGTAAGGATAATACTCCCCCAAGCATTGACAAATAAATAAGAATTGAGATCTTATTTATACGTGTAGCAGCCACATCGCTTGCTTGACTCGAGTAGTAGCAGTTTCATCATTATCACAAAAGTTTCATTTCCTTTCCTTAGACTGCATATCTCGAGATATCCACATCAATCTACAAAGCAAAAAAATAGTACGATAAAGACAATGCTTGGCAAAGTAGCTCTAGAAGAGGCCTTCGCCTTACCTCGCATGCAGGAAAAGACGAGATGGTGGGCTTCACTTTTCGCCGTCGACCCTGAAAAGCATGCACATGAAATGACAGATCTTACCACTACGCGCATCGCCTATATGGATAAGCATGGCGTTGGCTACACATTGCTTTCATATACAGCACCAGGCGTACAGGACATTTGGGACGCCAAAGAGGCACAGGCCTTTGCTGTTGAGATCAACGACTACATTGCGGGCGCAATCAAAGATCACCCAGATCGATTCGGTGCTTTAGCGTAAGTACAAGGCCTGTCTCTTACCTGTTCTATCACTTTGAAGATGAAGCTGAATCCTAATGCCAGTACACTCTCTATGCATGATCCCAAGGAGGCGGCCACTGAGTTGAAACGATGCGTAACGCAGCTGGGCTTCAAGGGTGCGCTTGTCAATGACACGCAACGCGCCGGTGCAGATGGAGATGATATGGTCTTCTACGATGGGCCTGAGTGGGACGTCTTCTGGTCCACTGTCACGGAGCTGGACGTTCCATTCTATCTGCATCCTAGAAATCCCACTGGAACCATATACGAGAAACTTTGGGCCAAGCGAAAGTGGCTCATCGGACCTCCGCTCAGCTTCGCTCAGGGAGTCAGCCTGCATCTCCTAGGAATGGTCACAAACGGCGTCTTCGATAGACACCCCAAGCTTCAAATTATCATTGGCCACTTGGGAGAGCACATCCCTTTTGATCTCTGGAGAATCAATCACTGGTTCGAAGACGTGAAGAAGCCGTTGGGCCTTTCATGTAAGAAGACGATTCGAGAATACTTTGCACAGAACATCTGGATCACCACAAGTGGCCACTTCTCGACGCCCACGTTGGAGTACTGCATTACAGAGTTGGGGGCAGACCGGATTCTTTTCTCCATTGATTACCCATTTGAGTCTTTCGGCGATGCTTGTGATTGGTACGATGGCGTATCATTGAAGAATGCAGAAGATGTGAGGAAGATTGGAAAAGATAACGCAAAGAAGCTTTTCAAGCTTGGAGCCTTCAAAGATTCAGCATAATATATATAGTAAATATCATAAACGTATCTTCAAGAGTTAAGACATTCGCTCTTCTCAAACACTTTATGAGCGCGGCGTAACAAATACCTAGGTAAATACATACAGTTTCATTACCTTCAAGAGTTCCCACTCTAGCAGTGTATTAGGCATGCCGACTCATGAAAATCTGAATGCATGAAGAATGATAGGGAAAAATGGAAAGATAAGAGGTTGTGCTTGCGTTAGGCGCAATCATAGTCTATAAAAAAGTTTAGTGCTCATCACGGCATGAAATGGCGAGATGGCCGAGTTGGTTATGGCGTCAGGTTAAGGCTACCTTAACAGCAATTCCTGGTGGAGCAATCCGCGTGGGTTCGAGTCCCACTCTCGTCAGCTTCTATTTTTGCCATTCCTATTGCAAAATTCATGTCTCAAGCTGTGGCTTTTTCTTTTTTCTATTTATACCGTCTTTTCTTTTTTTCGCAGAAAATCTTGGTTGGGGATAATATGTATTCACTACCTATGTATAGTGCGACGCTGATGTTGATCAGTGATTATCTGTAATTTTGGTTCAGTGTATTTCGCTTGGTCTGTTCTATCATGTAGGGCATCGTCACAGCACCGATTTTTCAGCCATGTGATTTTAATTGTGTGGAAATACCACTTGATCAATCTGAAAGTTGATAATCAACATTGGCTGTCCATGTACGCTCATGACTCATGTACCAAAATACTTCGGCTACATGTCTTATATAGATTACGTATTCTTCTGATGCATCCCTCTGGCTTATACATCAACTACCAGATATCTCTACACCCTGTAATCGTTTTGGAGCTGAAGACCCCTTGATCCTATTGTTGGCGAAAGTAGATCATCATAAGCAACTCGGAAACCGATCTCGCAGCCGAGCATCAACAAATGCTCGCGGAGATTGTCTCGGCTTTCAGTGAACTTTTAGAAAAACACCGAATATTTGCTCTAATAGACGATATTACGTTTCTGAGTCCTGATTTATGATGGAAAGAATGTTACCATTCCTCGGCTGCGAAAATTTCCCGTGTTGCTGTTTACTCGTCTCGTTCACAGGGTAGGCTTAGTAGAACCCAACTACGGTGAGAATGAACATTTGTGTGGGCGCTAAATTACAGTCTTATGCCAATGACGCAAAATTCCTAGAACAGCTCATTATTAAACAATTTGAAGAACCAAACCAAACAGTAAAATTCCTGTCCTACGGCCTACCATGATATATTCGTAGGGTAGAATAAGCTCACAAGGTTCCTTGCAGCCTTATCAACGGAGACCCGAGAACCAGGCTATTAAAGGGGATGTACTGAATGCTCCGTAGAACGGGAGCTAACTCCCCGCTGTTCATCGGACAAGGCCCCTAGCTTCCTGATTTCGAGGTTACTAAAATAATGGGTATTTTTGTCCTTGTTGTAAGCCGTTGGTAATCTCAACGCATTTGTTAAGGATGTGATGAATGCTTCCGACAGAACTACGACCATGCCTTTACAATTCAGATTGACTCAGAATCATTGGTTTTTATCACAATCACGGAGACTTTGACTCGCCGTTCACCATCATCACGGAAACTTTCAAACGGCAACCTTGATGGCACGGCTCTACCGAAACTAGCCCCGGAATACGGGAATATCGTACCTGACAGAACGGCTTCTAGGTAGTATATCCGCCTTTACAAAGCCCACTTAATGACTAACAGCGACGAATAGCAGCCATCAGCATATAGCCTACTGGGCATCGGCGCCGTGCTCGGCTCGCGTTTTCAACTTTCGCCGGGCCTTGCGTGGTCGAACCGGCCGTTGACGTCAGCAGAAGCCCCTAACAATCGGCACAGTTGAGCCGGATTGTGGATCGGAAACAATCGACGGCAGATATCGAAGGTGACCGGGGTTTATTTTCCACGTACCAATTGCTGGCCTTGCTTTTCTGTCGAGTTCGATTTAGCGGTCGACCAGTGTGGAAAATTCTGTTCCGACTTTCGGCTGGGCTGTCGCTCGTGCAATAGTTGTTTATATATAGCATGTTGCCGCTCCCACGATGGGTCTTGAATCGGGATCTGAAGATGCGCTAAGGATATTGATGTGGCTTTTTCATGCACCTCACGTGCTATAATCATCAAGATGCCGGACGAAGAGAGCATATCAAGAGAGAGTACCTCAAGTAGCCACAGCATAAACGACAGGGAAAAGGACAACGAGCCAGATGGCCACCGTCCAGCCCTCCATGAGACTCTGTCAAATGTGTCTCAGAATAACAAGAACCGACCTCGACCTCAGTCGGCGAGTAGCTCAAGCTTGAATCGACCTCTATCAAGAGCTCTATCACGACGAGAGACTGTTCTGTCAAGAATTCGCTCCCGACCAGATGTTCAGTTTACACATCCTCTTGCGCATATCAAGACGACAGATGATGAGATTGTCACTTTCGATGGACCCGACGACCCCTACCACCCTTTAAACTGGCCTACACACAAAAAGGTGCTCACAACAGCTCTCTATGGACTTGTTACCATGACGGCCACATGGGCTTCATCATCGTATTCCGTGGGCACGAAGCTGGTTGCCAAAGAGTTTCATGTAGGATCTCAGGTCGCTGTACTTGGCACAACTCTCTTTCTCTGTGGCTTCGGAGTGGGACCGCTACTGTGGGCACCGCTGAGCGAAGTATATGGCCGACGTACTGCGGTAATGATTCCGATGTTCATCTCCATCGCCTTTAGTTTCGGCACTGCTACGGCCAAGGACCTCCAGACTATTATGCTGACTCGATTCTTTGGAGCTTTCTTTGCTTCAGCACCCGTAACGAATACTGGAGGCGTCTTGGGTGATCTTTTTACCCCAGCCCATCGTGGTATCGCTATGGCTGGGTACGCCATGGCTGTTGTCGGCGGACCAGCATTGGGTACGTGGATAATTCTTTCCTAATTTTCTATAAAACTCATCATCTTGCTAACGAAATTTCTAGGCCCCATCGTCTCTGCTGCTATGGCTGAACAGCCATCTCTAGGTTGGCGCTGGACTGAATACCTTACGGGAATTCTGCAGGCCTTCATTCTACTTTTGGCAGTCATATTCATCGATGAAAGCTACCCACCGAAACTCCTGGTCTACAAAGCTCGCCGACTGCGCCATGAGAGTGGAAACTGGGCTCTTCACGCCAAATTCGAAGAATGGGATGTCAGCGTGAAAGAGCTCTGTAAGAAGTTCTTGTTACGACCCGTGCAGCTGCTTCTTACGCCTATTTGCTTCCTTGTTGCACTGTATGCCAGTTTCTGCTACGGTATCTTATATATGCAGCTGGGAGCAATCCCCATCATATTTGGAGAAATTCGCGGCTGGAACCCTTTGGTCTCAACGCTACCCTTTTCGTGCATCTTTCTGGGAGCAATCTTTGGATGTGCTGCAAATGTTTACAACCAACTCCTCTATAATAAAGCATATCACGCTGCCGGTAACCGTGCTGTCCCCGAGAAACGACTTCCGCCAATGATGATCGGCTCTATCCTCTTCAGTGGTGGACAGTTTATGATAGGCTGGACCGGTGGCCAACGTGATATTCACTGGATCGTTCCTTGCATCGGCCTCGTGCTGCTGGGAACCGGCTTCTTCACCATCTTTCAGGCCGCACTCAATTACTTGGTGGACACCTTCCAGGCGTACGCTGCATCAGCCATTGCAGCGAATACGTTTCTTCGATCTTGCTTTGCGGCTGCCTTTCCCCTGGTGGTTGGTCCCTTGTTCCATAACATTGGTGTTGGGCCAGGCTCCAGCATTACGGGTGGGTTTGCAGCATTGCTGATCCCAGTCCCGTTTTTCTTTTACAAATATGGAAAGAGAATTCGAGCTGGCTCCAAGTGGTCAAAGGCTTCGGTATACGACTAAACTGCAAGCTGCGACGGTTTGATGCGACTTATTTTGAACCAACTCGGTGGATGAGAGATAAAGAAGAGAAGAAGAGTTTAAAGTTCCCTTTTTTCTTTCCATTTTAGCGTGCAAAAAAGGTTTATTTCGTCGATTGTTGGCGATGTTGAAATATGTTTTTCATGAGAGCAGCGATACTTTTTACCAGATAGACTTGTCCTTTGGGTACAAATACGGAGATTTTGGGGAGTCGTAGTAATAATGATAGTTTTTGATACCCAATGTTAACTATGGATGAATAAAATATACTGTTAGAATTAAATCTCAAATGGTTAGCTTGGAATAACTATGTTAGCCCGTATTCTGAGAAGACCAATGTCAAGTATCGTGATGACAGTCATCGAAAGGAGGGTAGTTTATTAACGAATCGCCTGCGAAAGGGGCTGTAAGATCTCGTTGGGAGCCGTTGCAAGTCCTTCGTATTTTGCGTAAACCCGTTGAGGTGAAAGACTTGATAATGCCTAAGAAACACGCCATGTAAGAGCTTGAGGCTTCGCGCACATCAACGTGCATGTGAAACTTATCTGACAAAGAGAAGAAGTTGACAAGGTTGATAAGAAAACAAGCTTTGAGGGAGCCTGACCCGTTCCCAATAGCGGGGGCTTTTTTCTGAGACTTGACAGAAACTGCGACAGCTACGACTATGCATAATAGCGTAGCAAGGATTATATCGTCTGCCGATGGATCTTCGGATCATAGCAGTGGGGTTGGCGTGGCTGTGTGCAGCTATTTGCCTCTAAGCCCGCCAACCTCAAGGCATCCATCGACTCCGCCTTGCAGAGCCTCAATCGGTCAATTGGCGGTGCACAGAAAGGGGGAGAACCGAATCCCCCCCCAAATACGATTCTGGGGGTCCTGCAGGCGATCGAGCCGAGAAGCCCAAGTCTCCCACGTTTTGCTTCATCATGTCGGTGCACGGTGCTGGACACCCTCAACTGTTAGCCATTGTTAGTTCACGGCACTTTCTCAGTGATTCCATCGGCACTTCACAGCATATCTAGATTCATGTAACATGGCTCTGAATAGAGGTTACTTAGAGTTTATAATCAATTTGCTTGTCTCTCTATTACTTTTCACCTGACAGGACCAAAATCATTAATTGCTGGCATTCTTTTGCCCCAGACAAAGTAGCGTTAAAAGAGTAGGAACTGGCCTGACATATTGGAGAAATGCCGGCATCTGCAGCTTCTCCTAGACGGAGTATGGCCAATTGTTTGGCTCAGAGTTATCATTGATGTAGCTTGTAACTTAACGCTACCAAGCAGGATCATGTATCATGGCTGCACATCGCTAATCCTTCTAATCATCCATGCACATAGTCCTACGCTTTACGGAAAACGAATTAGCAGAAGCCAGCTCATCAGGCCATTACATGAAAACATTAACGATCTGAGGAAAGTAAAAGTACTTCTAAAATATTACCAGGTGGTTGCCTGGGTTCTTGCCAGACCCATGCGAGTCTATTGGCTGAGGCCTCTCGATCTCACGGTGGCTGCCTTGCAGCTGCCTAGCTGTTGCGGCGTGAGTCACGAATTCGCTAAGAGAGAGGCTCATGGCTTATGCGAGCAGTGTGAGCTGTATTAATATGTCGACTTCTTCTCATCAAATAATCCTTTTACGCTATACTCACTCAACCTCTCTCACATCCCCCCCATTTTCCATCTCCAACCACCACCTTACAGCAATACTCAAGGCCAGACTCAACAATGGCTCGCACAAAGCAGACCACCAGAAAGCCTATCCCCAGACGGGGTGGTGGCCGATTTGGTGGTAACAATGGCAATGGAAATGGCGCTGGCCGTTCGGCACGCACATATGGCCCTCATGATCTCGACTTCATTGCTCTCCAAGAGGAGGCAGAGCGCCGCGAGCGCATCCTTGCTGATCAGCGTCGAGTTGCAGCCAAGTGGCGCCCCAAGATTCCGGAAATCCGCAAAGTCAACTTTGAAAACTTCAAGAACCGTTTCCAGGGTGAAAACGAGCCTGACTATGCCGTCGATGTCCTCATGGCTGGTCCTGGACTTCAGGGTCAGATCCGCCGCGAGCGTGCGATCCGCCGGAGCGAGGAGACGGCTCGAGTTCGCAAGAGCTTCTACAGCCTCTATGATGCTGGAGCCGACCGCCGCAAGAAGATCGATCCCCTTGATAAAGTGAAGCGGGAAAAGAGAAATGAGCTCCTCTCAACTGATACAGAGATCCAGCGCGTTCGTGTGCAGTCACAGCCCATCTTGGGACATCTGACGTCCCTGTTGAACGATACAGAGTCGAGATCTACCCCTCGCACATTCATGCGCCCGTTCAAGGCTCTTGTGTACTTCCAACCCAAGATGAAAGAAATTCTTGCTACTCTGGAGGAGAAATGGGCCGACTATGAGGAGCTTGATGAGCACTCTGACGCTGCAGATGCGGCTAGTGAAGAGGCCGAGGTCATCGTCGAGATTGACAGCAAAAATGATACTGACACAGACGCCAAATCTGACGCAGAAGGTGACGAAGAGGACAAGGATGATGTCGAGTCGCTCGCATCGGTTGATTCAAACGTTGATGAAGACTTTGACGGCCTCATGGACAGCCCTGAGGCTCTGAGGGACATGCGGTGCTACGTCAAGTTCATTGACGAGGAAATTATGCCTCTCTACAAACGCTTCGAGGGTAGCACCGCTGAGAAAGTCAAGTTTGACGACTTGTGGTCTCTCTTCCGCGTGGGAGATCTGGTTCACATGCCAGCCGCTGTCGAAGCTGGCGGACGATATCACGAGGTTTGGCGCATCTACAAGATCCAGGCACCGCAGCCTGAGACGTCCTATCCCAAAAACGGCTGGGGATTCTTCGACGAGTTTGACGACATTGATGACCAGAACAAGTTCAAGATCTCGGCCTACTACGTGGACTACGATGGTACTGCCTTTGGCGCCGTGAAGACAAAGTTTGAGATTGAAGGCTTCTCAGGCGAGCGATCCATCGACTCGCTGCCCTGCTATCCAATGCGCTACCAGTCTGGCCATGAAGAGCTCATCAGTGGCTTGAAGGACCAAGGCCGCAAGTTCCTGCATTACTTGGATGATCGCCACCAGCAACACAACGCGTGGACCTTGACGAGGAACCCGCCCTCGCACCGCAATGACCCTGACCAGGAGATCTTGGACAACGAGTACTATGAGAAGATGCGCCACCCGGAGTTTGTTGAAAGTGATGTGATTGTCGACATGACTGAGGCGTACCAGAAAATGCCCAACTGGCGACCCGACTTCCACCAGTTGGCCGTCAACAAGGCTGTCCGCTGTGAGATTGCTGACGATGAGATTCCGATCCAGAAATGGTTCGATGGCGTCCGCCAGAACAGATCATATGTGCAAAAGGAGATTATCCAAAAGGCTGATGGCATCGAGAGCCGCCAGCGCCGAGACAACCTCGCCGTTGATACCTTTTTGCGCAACCGCCTCAGGGGATCTCGAAACTTTGAGGCAAATGCGCAGGCTCAGAAGCTGCGCGATGAGGATCTTGTCCTGCTCCCCAAGCGTATGTTCGCATATGCTCTTCGAGAGCGTCGTTTCATGCCTGTCGACTTGAACCTCCTTAAGCCCATCAAGCGCGAGGTTGGAGTATTCGAGAACCTCCGAATTCATGGCGACTACAAGGATGTTGTCCGCAGTCTAGTCATGTCTCACTTCCGAAAGAAGGAGCTGGAGCGACGATATGTTGACGCTGCCACAGAAGGCCCAGGACAGGATCTGATCCAGGGCAAGGGTCGTGGACTCGTCGTTCTACTGCACGGTGTGCCTGGTGTGGGCAAGACTGCGACTGCTGAAGCTGTCGCTATGGAGAACAAGAAGCCGCTGTTTGTCATTACCTGCGGTGATCTCGGTCTCTCGCCTCACGAGGTCGAGTCCTCTCTGAAGAATGTCTTCCGCCTTGCGCACTTGTGGGACTGCGTGCTCCTTCTCGACGAGGCCGATGTTTTCCTTTCCCAGCGATCCAAGCTGGACATGAAGCGAAATGCCCTTGTGTCTGTGTTCCTCCGTGTCCTCGAGTACTACAACGGTCTCTTGTTCTTGACAACCAACCGTGTGGGCACTATTGATGAGGCCTTCAAGTCTCGTATCCACCTGTCTCTGTACTACCCGCCTCTCGACAAGACTCAGACAACTGAGATCTTCCGTCTCAACGTCGCTAAGCTCAGGGTCATGGAGTCTGAGCGCCAGAAGATGACTGGTGAGCCCTCAATGGTCATCAAGGATGACGAGATCCTCGATTTTGCCGCGAAACATTTCGAGGATCTCGCTCGATCCACCGGTTGCTGGAACGGTCGACAGATCAGGAACGCTTTCCAGATTGCGTCCAGCCTGGCACTGCACAACTACACCAAGCAAGCGGATATCGCCCGTGCCAAGGGCCAGCTGCCGCCTGCAGCTCCAGTTTTGGATAGAACGCTGTTTGACAAGGTGCAGATGTCGACGCAGAGCTTTGACAAGCATATGAAGAAGGAAGAGGGCAAATACGATGATGAGATTCCGATGAGAGGAACCTTCGATGATTAAGTGATGACGACGCCATGAATTGCGCCTGAGTGGTATTACTTTTTGCGGAGTTTTGTATTGAGCATATAGTTACGGTCTGAAAGCTACGAATTCATTTGCACGTTGATTCCGAATAACCCTTGAAATTCGTTATATGGTGAAAATAGTCACGTTTTATTGCTTGGTTAATACGAAGTTCCGTGAGTCAGCACTGGAAGCCTAAACTAATGGAGCCCTGGTGAGATAGATTGAGCAAACCCTTGCAACTGTATATATTAAAGCATAATGCTCGAGAGTCATCGTAAACTAGGCAGGCTTAACAACAGCGAAATAGGGCTTAGCGAGAACGAAATACAAGACGCGAAAGGGCAGTTATTGCCGGAACTAAAACTCATGGGGTACTTCCATTGCGAGCGGGCCGATTTCCCGCATCGAAGTCGAAAAATGCGGGGTGCACCCAGGGGTCTTCTATATGTTTGTTATAAGGAGCCCCTTAGCGAGGCCTATGCTAAGACTCTATCGCCTAGGGTTAAATATGGAAGGATGCGAGAATTTTACCGTCATCCTACAATGATACGAGGTTGCTGCAGCAGGATGAAGTTAATTCCCGGAGCGCGTCTGGTCTATTTGGCCGAGATGCTTGGGCGCGGCTTCACAAGATTGCCGAGTTGAGTATAAATACTCACCCTTTCGCTTTCTTCCAAAGTCGATACACTCAACTCGACGACGGCGTCGTCTATTAGGAGCACTTGTGAGTCAATCGTTTGCTTGGCTGTCTAGCGTTCTCTTGGCACCATGGGGGCACTACGTTCCTTTGTTATTTTCGGGAGTCTTGCGTCTTCGGCTCTTTCGACGGCAGTTCCGCCTCTACAGCCCCGAGCGGTGGCAGGCCAAGGTTGGTCACTGCAGTCGGCATCATGTCCTGCCAATACCAAATCTTGTGGTAACGGGTCTTGCTGCCCTTCGACGTCAAACTGCCAATCTACCGGCAATGGTGAAGTGGAAGCCTGCTGTCCCTCTAGTAAGCGGAAACTTTGAGCCCCTGATCTGAAATGCATCTACTGATCACGCTATACAACTCCCAGCAAGTAATTGCCGAGGCAGTGTTGAAGGCGCTCCAAGTTGCGCAAACGCTGCTTGGTCGTTGTGGACGGGAAGTTTTGGGAATGGATTCTGCTGCGAGGTCGGCTTGACTGGAGCCTTTGTTAATGGAGGGTCAGTTGCTGGCATTTGCGTAACTTCTGTTCCCTCTGGATACTCTACAGCTTCGCTGGTAAGAAAGCCGAATCTTGCTTATGAGAATAGAGATTAACGCCCAAGTGTAATTTACAGGTTACCAAAGGAACGGGGGCACCGGTTACTTCCACCCCTCCAACGTCTTCAACTTCATCGTCTGCGCACTCGACGACAAAAGCAAGTTCTACAAAGTCGAGTGGTTCTGGACCAACATCAACTACAGTTCCGAGAGCGGTGTAAGAAGCCCTGTTTGAGCGTCGTTGCATATACAGGTCAACCTATGCGTGCTGAGCTAATTAAATGACAGATTTGCCCACTACATGGTCGGATCTATGAACGCAACAGACGCTGTGCAGGATGTCACAGATGCAAAGGCAGTAGGCTTCGATGCTTTTGCGCTCAACACCCATGACATTACGGACCCCTGGGCTCTAGAAGCACTAGGATACCTATTTGACGCGGCTGACCAAAATGGCTTTAAGCTATTCATGTCATTTGACATGAGTTGGCGAACCACCATTGCTCCATCTCAGATCCCATCATTCTTGCTCAACTATATTTCCCGCCCTTCGTACTACACCGTCTCCGGCAGGCCTCTCGTTAGCACTTATGATGGTGGCTTCATCACAAACTCAGACTGGCTCTCAGGCTTTAAGCAGCCACTACAGGCCCAAGGCATTAACCCCTACTTTATTCCCAACTTTGGCGACTGGAGTGGCTGGCCAAATAACTTCTTCTCAACTTATACTGTCGCTGATGGTGTCTTCAGCTGGGAGTCTGCGTGGCCTGCCACAAACACCGGCAAATCCAACGTGTCCGATAGTGTTGATCAGAACCTACTTCAGCAAGCAAGGGCCGCTGGCAAAGTCTATCTGATGCGTAAGAATCCCCCTTGTACACTGCCTTCTTTTTTTTTCTATTACAATTGCTGACGAGACACCTGCTATATAGCTTTATCAAGTTTCCAGTTTAAATATCAAGGCTCGGGCCAAGACTGGTATCGCATTGGAGAAGTCAACTTGCCACAGCGATTCCAACAAATATTGGATTTGCAGCCAGACTTGGTAGAGCTAATTACCTGGAACGACGCAGGAGAAGGGCATTATATAGGCAATTTCTTCCAACAACAAATCGACGGCACGAATATTGGAGACTACGCCAATGGATTCGATCATACAGGCTGGCAACAGCTAGTGTCGCCCTTCATAAAGGCATACAAAGGCGGCACAGCTACCAGTGGCAGTCAGATTCTGCCTCCCGGATCGGCTCCTGTGGGTTCATTATGGTATCGTACCCTGTTGACCAGTGCCAGTTGTTCATCCACGATCGACAACTCCGAACAGGCACAAGACACGGTTAACTTTGCTGTGCTGCTGCCCTCAAGTGGCTACACGATCAAAGTGTACAGTAATAACGGGCTGATTGGCAATTTTACTGGCACTGCTGGACTCAATTATCGCGCTGTACCTGGGCTGAGCGTTGGCGGCGGGCAGTTTATCCAAATTGTGAATAGCGCCGGCTCTGTGGTTGCATCGGCCACGGGCACGAAGCAAGTAACGGCCCAGAGTTCCAACGCGACCTGCAACTGGAACTACGAGGTTGTTGGCCTCTCATAGGCCATTTCGCTTCTCAGTAATATAAGGCTGAGATGTTGAGAGATAGAAGACTTATGAACATTTATGGCTTGTTGATTGGAAAGCGTAGTTTTTTATCGCCAAGTTATACTTATGCGGGCTTGGCGCTATTAATATGTCTTTCATTGTGTGAAAATGGGGGTGGTGCAGCTGTCCATAGACACACTTGTTGCTTCATCAAGGCCATGAGAGAGTTGCAAAATGCTTGAGGCCTCTATTTATACTGAAATATATTATGCCAACAGTTACCGCCCTTGGGTTAATAGTTACATCTTTTCGGCTCGTTTTGTTCCTTTCCCTGCCTACTTGGAAGCAGAATATCTAGATCCATAGACAGACGGAAAACGAAAAAATTATAGTAGGCAGGCTAGAAGCTGCTTTTGAATGGATGAATTACTATGTCATGTCGCAAATTACTACCGCATTGTTTAGCAATGAAACAAAGACGGTGAGCCTCTCAACGTTATTTTAAGCTGAATTTATGCTTCTCTACCGAAATGGAGCAGATCAACAGAACACATACACGAGGGGCTTGATTAAGAGAGCAACGATGGACAGATCCTGGCAAAACTACGCGATGTGTCATTATAGCCTGAAAACGAATAGTAACATGCAGAGCGGCATGTACTAGCTTTTCGTTCTCATTCGGGCGACCGGCCGGTCATTGTGGAACCTGGATATAGACTTTCACTATTGTTAACGAGACTTCCCAAGTAATGGCAAGGTACATAGATGGACATAGTTCACTACATTATATACGTCTCTCATGACAAGTCTATAGAAAGAAAGCAAACATCAATGAATACTAGCTACTTAGAATGCCCTCGTTGTCAATGTTCCGCCATTGCCAGCACACACACTAAGAACAAACACCTATTGAAGCGGCTAAGCCGGAATGCGAGCGGCGAGTGTGACCCTACAACGTCGCCTCGTCGCCTCGTCGCCTCACTTTGGCATTGATCAGGAAGGTCGCAATCGTAAAGCGAGCGGGGTTGGATTTGGGTTGTTTTTTATCATGTGTCGACATTATAATGTTTTCAACGAAATTCTGTCAGATTCACGTGCCAGGGATCATCAAGTAACTGCCGACGTCCATCTTGCTTGGCATCAATGCCATGCCCCGCTCGGATTTCGAGTCAACAGGAGAACATGGCTTCTCATGGTCCCCCGAATGTTGGATAATAGTATCCATCATACCCATAGCTTTGAATAGCCACAACAATTTGAGCATGCAAGAAGAGCAGTAATTCAGTTAGATACGTGTTTTCTGTTTCTAAAAGGAAGCAGTCGCCTTATAAAATGATCACAAATGTCGGATCTCTCCCGCCCTCGTACAAAAGATCTTCAGCAGCGACGGCCCGACGGATGAACGACCTGGCTACCATGACGCGGCTTCCGGTGGCCGTTGATGGTACCTAAATTACCTAAAGGAAATGAAGGAATGTGGAGAGCGTTTCTTTGAGGAATACTTCATGACCCCTAAAGTTCAAAAGAGATTGAGCTTCCGTGAGGCTTACCGCTTCAGTCATCTTGTCCGTCTGGGGTGCATACATAAGAAGATACCACTTCAGAATGCGGGGATAGATGCAATCCGATTCAAATGCGGGGGAGTAATGAGTTACGGTGAGAATACACTGAGAAGGCCAAAGATGAGAAAAGCACATGCTTACAGAAAGGAGCCACCCTCGGCACTCTGCCTTGCCTATGAACTATAAAGTCCAGTGCTGCCTGCCTTTGAGCTCATTTTACAAATCTTCAACAAAAAGTCACTTCAAAAAGCTATACCTCCAACGAACAAACGGTTTCTCATCTTCAAACCTATCCTATCCACTTCCAAAAATGAAGTTCACCCTTGCTCTTGCTACCTTTGTTGTCGCCGTCTACGGCCAGACCGTTGATGACATTCCTGCATGCGCTGTTCCTTGCATCGAGAGCGCAATTGCAAGTGCTACTACATGCTCAGCTGATGACTTTGCGTGCGCTTGCGAAACCGCAAACTTTGATGCCATCCAAGCGGCTTCCATTAGCTGTGTTGTTGCTGCTTGTGGCGCAGATGTTGCTATCAGTACGCATATATCTTCTTGTGAAAATTAGCATTACGTACTAACACTGACTTCCTCACTTATAGACCAGGTTCTCCCTGCCGTCCAGGCTCTCTGTGACGCACAGTGAAAGGATTATTGACAAGTATTGGAATCGAAGGCGAAAAGCCGGATCCTTGATAGATATAACGGAATTGTAAGGCTAGAAAACATACAAAGTATACACAATTAGCTAACTTCGGTTTGATTCTTGTTTCAAATTTATAATTCGTGATATAGCGTTGCCGGTTCCATTCATAAGTGCATTTATGTATGCATTGTCCACTCTCACAGAAAGCTACCGCGTCTTTGAAGTACCCCTCTTGCCAAATCTCGCTTATATGATATAATTATAAGCGATACCATTCTCAGATACTTGCTTGTGAAGAGTTTTCTCGCACTTGAACGCTATTTCGGTAATGTTTCTATATACTGAGAGACCAGATGACGGACAATATAAAAGCTAGCTTCTTTTTCTTAGACAATGGGAGCAACTTCTCTTGATATAATAGTTTAGTTACTCGTTCCTATCTTATAAAGTGACATTCTTTTCACTTTCATAGAATGCCTTTGAGACTATTTAATAGTGACCCGCTGGTAATATAAGACTGCATAAGTCGAATTGATTGCTTTGCTAATGACAAATATATACAATAATCGCCATGCATGGTAGTCACCAGCTGATATATAAAGAAAAACTTACCCACAAACTCGTTCCTATTTCGAGATTACGATGTATATGCTTGAACTTGGCTGTCAGACACGTAGTGGCTCCCTCCCTTGCACCTATAGCCACTTCCCTCTCTGACCCAGTCAAATCCCGCCTCACATTGACCAATGGACTGCAAAACTTGCTGTACAGACTTAATTTTGTCCACCTGCTCGTCATATGCGCAGTATTCCTCCTCTTTGACTGTGGTAGGCTCCTCTGCTTTGTTAGTCTGCACGCATGTCGCTTGCTCGTTAAAACATGCTTGCGGCTTGTTCTCTGACATATGGTAGCTGATTGACATGTGAGCCGACTCTGTTTGGCGGAAAGCCTCCATTATGTTGTTGGGGTCGTTCATTTGCATGGCAGACTTCATCTGGAACATCTTGTGGAAAAAGAAATTTGCCCGCTCCACCGAGAGATGCAATCCGCTGACAGCCTGGACGCCAGGTATAGTATTAGTGAGAACATCTGTGACCATCCAATCTGATAAAGATTGCACGTCATGGGCGTTTCTCCAATGATTCATGTTGCAAAGTATTTCGAATTGATTCACGAAACAATTCACAATTTGATCGCCAAAAATGCTGCTGCTGACACCGTTCTCTCCCAGCAGTCGTTTGAGGAGAGTCAGGCATTCTGAAGCGGTGAGATTTTCGAAGGTGAGTTCTTTAAAAACGGAGCCACCGATGCCATTTGCTTTAGCCATGAGTGCTTCAATCTCATGAGATGGACCCGCCAAGATCATAACAATATTCTGACTATGCTTTTGTAGAAGTCGAACAAGCTCGTTGATTGCTTCGGTAGCGTATCCGCCTTCCATAAGCTGGTGGGCATTGTCGATATAAAGAACGCCTCCAAGGCCTTTCATAAACTGTGATCTAGTCTTGGGAGCAGTATGGCCCACGTGCTCACCGATGAAATCTGCCGCTGAGCACTCAACAAATATCTTGTCGGTAGACAGGATTCCTAGATCGTATAATAAAGTACTCAGATACCGAGCAACCGTAGTCTTTCCGGTACCTATTAAAGTTAGCATATAGCTTTTCTCGACGTTTTTGTGAATTTTAGCAAGTGCATATCCACTTGTAAATAGCCAAGGTACGAACCCGAGGGCCCTTTAAGAATAAAGGATTTTGGGATGATCGGCGTAGTACCAAATCTCCGTGACTTGGTTACTTGAAGTAACCTTTGATACTGCTCCAGTTGGAATATGACATTGTTCGATACTTTGTTTTGTAGAGCAGCTCTACAATTGGCAGATGCGTGTTGTGCACGGCCATGGTTCGGATCGAAATCTTCTTGGCTTAGGATCATGTCATGGCCATGGCTAGAAGCACCCGCCTTTGACTGCCTTTGTAAGTTATTTTCCATGGCAGCTGAGATAAGATTGTCAAGTTCTCTCCCATTGCTAAAATCCTGTCGCATTCGGGACCGGTTCAAGACTTCCATGGCGGCTCTCAAGCCTTCTGGTGTCGACTTCAAGTTTCGAGCCCCCAATTTCCGCTGTAAAATTTCCCAGAGTTGAGCGTCGCTAAAGTCTTCGAAACGAAATGGTTTGTCCGCAGCAAATCTCCCCGAAAGCCCAGGGTTGGCATTACGGAACATCTCCATCAGTCTCTCTTCGTAGCCAAGCAGAATAACACAGCGGTCTTCTCCAGGAACGCTTTGTACTTCGGCAACAAGTGTGTCGAGCACAGCGCCTCTGTATGAATCGCCGCGATTAGACGATTCGCCAGGATCCAGCATATAAGCTTCATCGATGATCAACACCTTCCCGACTGTTGCCGAGAGTATGGATTTCGTCTGTGCTTCTGATTTTCCAACAGCTTCGCCTATGAAGTCTGCCGGATTTTTTGTAACCACTTTTTGTGTGTTAGTCATGTATTTGATTAGTAGAAAAGAGGTATAAGAGAATGGAAAAGTATATATACGCACCCTCGCCATTGCTGAGAAAGCCCAAGTCGACTAGTATCTGCCCGTACAACTTGGCGACAGTTGTTTTACCAGTGCCAGGCGACCCGACAAATATTCGGTTCAATGAGAAGCTCAAAGGTGCCAACTCGGCCAATTCTCGTCGATAGTTCATCTCAAGCGCTTCAAACATGTTATTAATCGACTTCTTCACCTCCTCCAGTCCGGTAAGCTGTTGAAGCTTTGCCCAAGCAGAGCTTGTCAATCTGACATCTGCAGGATTTGGTCCAAGAATATCTTCCTTCGTAAAGGTAAAGACTTCGTTGTTCGTCATATTTTTGCGCTTGGAAAGTCGTTTTGCTTGGCGTTGCCAAATCTTGAGCAATACATTTTCCACAGCGCGGGCGTTACCGAATCCTTTCTTTCCTCGGCTGCAAGCTAGTCGGCGGATAGCCACGCGCATGTATTTTCCATGCATTCCATCCTCGACTCTCATCTTGCCTTTGTATTTCCTTTCAATTTGACTGACGAGAGTTTGTAAGAGCTCTTGATCAGTAAAGTCGGAAAACTGAAGAGTATGCGGAATTCGGCTTTTTAACCCAGGATTATGCCCAAAGAACGATTCGAGCTCTTCTTTATATCCTGCAAAAATAACAACCAAATTTCCAACGTTGTTCTCAATCTCTGTAAGAAGAATATCGAGAACTTGACGACCAGAATTGGGCACGTGTGGAGCAGTTAGCTGGTAGGCCTCGTCCACAAACAGAACACCACCGTCTTTTAAACAGCCAGGCTCAAGGGATGAAGTGGTGCGGACAAATGCTGTAGGATCATTTGCATAGTCATCTTCGTCGTCGTCGTCACGACACGGCTGCTGAGCTCTTGTGCCCAGCAGACCCTGAAATGGGTTAACCCCAGATGCATCGAACAACTCCTTGACTTCTTTTGGCCCCATGCATACCAGCTGCGCACCGGATGTCTCTTTATATGTTTTGGACTTTACAATGTCGATGCTCCGTAGAAATCTAGCATAGAGTCTGGCCACTGTAGTTTTTCCTGTAATGGCTCTGTGAGTAATTTTCTCTAACAGAAAATAGCAGAACGAAAGCTGACCTGTTCCGGGATTTCCCTGAAAGACAGCATGCCATCGCTCTGTTCGGGGGTTCGTTCCTTGGAGAGAGCAGATACGAACACAGCCCTCTATGTTATCGAATTGCTCTTTGACTTCTTTCAGGCCAACCAATTTGCTCAACTCTGCGCGGACCTTGCTCTTGGTCGTTTCGCGTTTTCTTCGATTGACAGAACCCATTATTTCTTGGCCCTTGTTTTAATTTAATTGATCATTCTCAGTATCGTATCGCTGTTGTTCGTCTATTGAGAGGCGGGGCTTAGGTAGAAAGACGCGGACACGCTGTCCAAGTGGCCGTATCGAATTTTGGGAAGTGTTCAATCGCAGAGTCGAAGCTTGGTAATTCGTTCACGGAGGCAGACTGTTCAAGATAATGGGAATGAGATGAGCAGGCGTAGTTCTAAGCTTCAAAAATTCGCTAGCATATGCGAAATCATCAAAAGTCAAGCAAAACCGACATTTCCAGAGTACTGAGTGTATGCGTGCAGAAAAAGCAAGACATATTTAGGGTAGTAATTCATGACGCAGCGTGAAGTCCTCTACTTTCTAATGAGAAGTCACTCTGCGTTCCATCATGTAACCGCAGTTATTCCAGCTAATGTACATTGAATGTATGTACATGTTCATCTGGCCAGATAACAACCTCTCGGGCATGAATGACAACTAGTTGGGCTCAGTGGCTGACTCGCAATACTCATATTCGTTGACATAGTCATCAGCATGTTGGTACCTCTTCTCATGCTGCAACTTCTACTCAAATGACACGTTTGAGTCATGCAACCCCGCGGCATGCCAATATCGGACCACTCAAACGCTGCCAGCTCTTTGTGTAACAATGCACTGCAAGCCACTTGCATTCGCTTTCGACCAGTCGAAAATATTGGCTCCATGCAATGAATGACCGAAATGCCACGGTCACCGCAAAGCCATTATCATTGGCAGATAAAGCAGTGGATTTGTTCTATCCAATGCTCTTGCAAAGCACACGTCATCAAGGCAGGCAGTTTGTCGTAGCTAAGACATGCGGCTCTTATAATTCCGTGCCGTGAATGGCCACTCGAAGTCATACGGGTACAAAATACCACGGGCTGCCGCCCTTGCATCATCCATCTATATTACATGTAGGCAACTTACTTGCGACTTGGTGTTAGAAGGCTACATTACTAACATCTTTTCATAAACCTTACCGTATTTTGCTACCATCAACGTATAGTTGCATTAGCCGGAATACGCTCATTTTTTTCTATTCAGCTCCTTTTCTTCCTTTTCTAAATTGCAGAATTACGATCCAGGCAACTTTCTTATTTCTGTTTGTCATACAACGCGTGTTTATTGGTATTCAAGAAACGGGGCGTACTGGAAGCACTTGGCGAGACTTTTCAGGCTGTACGTGCTGGCGGGGAGCCCGGTCTCACACCGAGTGGGCAGAACTGAAGATTGACGGGGCGTTCTGTAGTTGAGTAGCATTCACAAGCCCCCTCCTTCATCCTATAGATCCTGCGTGCATGGACCTCTTTAATCGTTCTTTGATGGAGCCGTACTGTACATGTACCTGCGAGTCTCTCATCGCTCTGCCATGTGAAAAGAAGTAGCTACATAAGGCGGCAGCCATCTTAAATCTCACGCTGGCTTCAAGAGCCGCAAATCTTCCCCATTGCAGTAGCTTCGGCCACAGAGTACAAAACACCGGCTTGAATACTTTGATATGGAGACAGGGTCTATGATTTTACTTCAAACAGCGGTTGCAATGGCTGATACGTCTTTCAATTGATCTCGCGTGAGCAATTTACCCTCCCTCCTTCATGCCTTGACTTTTGCATCCATTTTCGCAAGAACCATGTTAACAATATCTTCTTTGCCTTTCTTCAGCGCCCAATCCAAGATATTCCCCCCACGCAAATTTTTCGCCTCAACATTCGCATCATTATCAAGAAGTAATTGGATAACATGCCGGTTACCAATTTCCACGGCACGCCACAGAGGTGTGCGGCCAAACTCATCAATTATTTCCACATTGGTGCCGTTCTTTAGCTCTCTTTTTATAGTGGTGATATCTCCTTCCTCAATTGCATCGAAAAAAACTGCAGGATCCGTATTAGGGAAGGTATTACTTCGTTTCTTTTGTAAGATTGTGAGTGGAGCAGAGACATCGCCGCTTAGCAGAGGCTGTGTTGAACCAAAGTCTGTGTTCCTGCGCGGAAGGCTAGGACCATCATCTGGATGAGGTTGTTTCTCATGATTCTCAAGCTTTGGTGATTGAGGTGGTGTTTGCGGCCGAGTTAAATCGTTGGCATCGTACAACGTTTCTCCAAGTTTCGGATGGGCCGCGTCTGGAGAATTGTTGTACCAAATCGCCTCTGGACATCCTATTATCTGGGGTGCAGGTTCTGTAGCGCCCTGAGGTTTCTTGGGCGCTGTCAAAACCATGAAAATGTCAGTAAAATTAGATAGGTTTATGCGAATAATGACGTACTGAGCGGAGGAGAATTAGCCGCCTGATGCTGCAAATTATACTCCTTGGAAGCTCTAACACTGCTAGAAGTGATTGAATCTGGAAATGTTTTAGCATGCCTATCGATGGTAAAGTTATATATCCTTTCAAGCCATTTTTACCTTGTATTGACTGAAGCCCGCGGACTTCGCGCTCAGGCACTACTCCCAAGAGGGCCTTTGTACATGCTGCTGCAACTGCCGCAGCATAGTTTTGCCACTTATCGTTTGCGTGCGAGTCTGCATAGTCGCATATCCCTCGAATAACAACACAGGGAAAGTTATTCATGAGTCCTGCGGCCTCCATCTCTATACAGAAGAGGTTGTCGTTATATCTCTTGCAGAGTTTGTCTCGAACCTTGGCATCCTTGACTATTGTATTGCCTGATGCGATCAGTCCATAGTGAATCTTGAAATCGACAAGTCTGGGCTCTCTTTGTATAATCCTGCTCTTATCGCAATCGGAGCAGTCTTTGCGCATATTCGCATGACTATAATCAGACTCAAACAAAAGATCTTCCAGGGAGTCCGGCTTCAGATAGCTTTCATCAATATCAGACATTGCTGTCAATTTTTTAAGATGGCTGCGCATCTCTCTCCGAGTCCGTGGGTCAGCCTGGAATTTTGTCAAAGCTGTAAGCACAGCTGTCGGTGGGCCACATAGGTATCCTCTCGTTTCAAATTGACCACCAGCATGAGCTTTGCCCATATCATGCTGAACGACTCCGGCATTCGTCCCGAGGGCAGAGCAAATGACCACATCTCCGAGTCGTGTTTTGTTAGGAATACCCCCGCCAACCCCTACCATCATGCCGAACTTAATATTAGGAAAAGTAGATGCCATTCTAGTTATAACCGCTGCTGAGTCATTGGTACCAATTCTGCCCATGGGTAGGCCGACAATAACAACGTTGTGTGCGCCGATTTTTCCAAGAGTATAGGTATTCTCATCATTCGCCGGATTGTGGAGATCTCTATGCCTCTCATCGAGCATGTGCATTGCTACTGTTTGCTCAAGCGGCAGCGCACAAATCCACCCGATGGTATACTCATCGTGTCTCAATTGCCTTTCATCCATGGTCGTTATGACTTTTCAGGTTACTGGTTAGAAAAACAGACTGTGATCTTGAAGATCTAAAATTTGAGTATTGCGCTGCGGTTGCTCTATAAATAGTGTGAAGAGGAAAGCCGCGACTCGACACCATTCTATTACTACACATTCTTTGGACTTTAAGCCCACTCAACAACTGGGCACTACTACCTACATCGAAGCTTTCGATAAATCTGGGAATGAACGGGTTGGGAGCAGAAATGCAGCCACATTACTTGGGCGCTGCATTGCAATCTTCCGGCTACATAAATGCTTTCGGAGTAAGTAGAGTGCCCGACTACCCAACTACCCGTTTTGCCAATTATATCAAGCCCAGTCATCAGAGGTGCATTAAAATGAACACGTGGACCGAATAGAAAATCGTAACTAATAAATTGCACTCATTCCAGTTGAACTATGCCAATCAATACGTGGACGAAGGAGAGCTTCGAAACTAATCAGGCAAACTTACACCAGCAAACTACTGATAGCCGCCACATCCGTATTGGGCTCGAATATACATTGAACGTGGCAGCATGCTACATGCAACATTGTCGATCAAAGATTTTTTAAGGTTAGAATGATCAGACTAAATGCCCTAACTTGGTGATGCGTTGGACATCCACATTTGCAATACATCAGGCTCTGCATCACACCAAACTCAAGCAGTGTTTGTCATTGGCAGCGATGCCCCATAATGGGCATACGTGCATTTATCTTGTCTTCTTCTTAAAAAGAATTGACGCCTTTACAATAATTGCATAGAAACCTAGCGCTATGCTTAAATAGAGTGGCTATCACCTAGAAGCAATCATCTAGTTAGCGAATCACTCAGGATCTTTCGTCATTGCATTCGGGTGGTAGTTGGCAAGCTCAAACGCACCAATGCAAGCCTATGTCTTTGTTTGGGCTTACTCTCACCTTCTTTTAAGGACGTCTAGCTACGCACAATATACGTAGACTTAGATTCACTACAGCTATAGCGATATGCATATACTTAGATGCTAAAATTAACCTCTTTGAGCAGCTTGGGTTTTTTTTTCCAAAACAACTTGCAATATCCGACTTCATAACCTGTATCTGATTTAGAGCATTATGGGGTAAGCTTGTAAGTATTTCACTGTCTGCTCCAAACAATAGCATCTTTTTGTTCCAAGAAGCTCGGGTACTGTAGGTTGTAGAGCTTAATTAATTTTTTTTTTTGCTGCACCTCTTGAACATATCTCTGGTGAGCTGGCAATGCAGCAGATCCGCTATTAAGTGCTCTTACATGTGTGAGTGCCCGAGCCTTATGCATGTTATCCATAGCCTGCCTCGCCCAGCATCATCGTGGTGATCCAGCCTATTCAGAAAATTACTTGTACTATGGTTACAATGTGGGATTGGATGTTTACAGTGTTATAATGCTCTATTATCATGAGGCGCTATACATTTAGTCTCATTAAATGTATTGCAACGGGAAAATAAACTGGTGGCCGAGATTGGCGACCATTCTTTTAGATTATAACATGGCACGAGATGTGCATATCTTATTGAAGGTGCTGGGCCCAATAAAAAACTCTTTATATCTCCGTGACGCAGAGTTGGTTTCCTCATTGAGTCATTTCTCGAAGAAACAGAATCACATGTAGATAGATACGTAGAAACCTATCTTATCTGAAGGTTTCGTGTTTGGCTTGAGGAGGTGACCATCATTGGACTCGGATATTCCATGGAATAGAGCTAGGCATTCTGTAATTTGCCTACAGTGTTCACTCTTCAGCAGTAGTGGTATGGGTGTCTGAGGCAGCATGTAAGTGTACATGGCGGGGAAAGGGGCGATTTGTCATACCGTAGCGCGCTCGATGGTATAAATCTGGCAGACGTTCCTGAAAGCTTTACAAACATGGTAACATTGCAATGCAAACATGTAAAATATAGCCTTTCTTAAGTACATGCAGGACATATAACTTGGTAGCCTTATGCGAAGCTGTGACATTGCAACCGCTGTCCACCAGGCTAGACTCAGATTCGCAATTTTAGGCTTCAGCGCGTGCGAAATAAAACAGCTGGAGACGTCCCCTGTTCACGGGGTCTTATCTCTGGGGTACGGGATCCGGCCCATTGGCCTGACAACTCCGCCTTGAGAAGTGGAGTCTGAGACCATCTTAGCTTCACGGTCTCATCAAACAAACACACGACTCCAACTTGACATCCCAATCATCAACTGTGAGGAGCTCTTCCATTACCATCTTCGCGCTGTCATCACATTTCATTGGTCCTAATACTGTAGCAAGAGCTGTAGCGCGACTGCCTGTCTATCACCATGTTGAAGTCAATCTGTACCAGCTCGCTGCTCCTACTGAGCACGGGCTTGATCTCCACGGGCTCCGCGTCCCAGGAGGCGCAAGTCCACCTCACCGCTGGAGCCAAGCAGCATCAAGTCGACCCGGCCATTCTTGCTGCCTTGGAGAAGTACCCAGACCCTGTTGATGCGTTTATTGCGCTGCATCCCGAGGCTGCTGAACAGCTGGCCGAGCCGCGCTTGCTGCGCGTTTTTGGCGAATCGAGCGCCCAATGGATGACAGAAGGAGACAAGATGCGCCTCAAACGCCAGGGAAAGCAATTCACCGATATTACTGGCCACGAGGACTTCTACAAGGAGCAAGTCAACATACTGGCTGGCAAAGCTCGTAAGTTTGAATGCTCGATGATGTACATGTGTATATTTGATTTGGCAATTGCTAATACTAGGTACGCAGACTTGCCCAAGCTCAGCCATCATGGACTAGTGAAGCCCTTGTTGCCTCTTGTCTCTACTGATAAGATGCACGATGTCCTCAAGCACATGACAAGCTATTATACACGATACTTTAACAGTGTCACTGGCGAGCGAAGCTCGCAATGGCTTTACGATCATATTGCCGAGGTATGAGTCGCCGGAACCATCATCATTGTTATTGCTCGATCGCATCAACGTACTAATGACCATGCTCAGATCATCAAGAATGCCCCGTTCCATACTCACATATCTCTCGAGTTCTTCACCCATACATTCCCCCAATCTTCAATTATTGCTCGATTTGAGCCTAAGGTGAGAGATTTCTCGCAGCCGTTGACCATTATTGGCGCGCACCAGGATTCCATGAACTACCTGTTCCCGCTACTTCCTGCTCCGGGTGCAGATGATGATTGCTCCGGTACAGTGAGCATTCTCGAAGCTTTCCGCGTTCTCGCAGAGAGCGGATTCGTCCCCACTAATGGACCGGTTGAGTTCCATTGGTACGCTGCCGAGGAGGGCGGTTTGCTGGGCAGCCAGGCCGTTGCGCGATATAAGAAGGAATCTGGAGCTAAAATCGGCGCCATGATGGAGTTTGTAAGTACATCAGGACATGTGGTCAAAGATTCGGAGTATTAATTCTTCGCTCAGGATATGACCGCGTTCATTGCAAAGAATGCTACCGAATCCATTGGATTCATCGAGACCGAGGCGGATGCGCCTTTGACGAAGTGGGCGGCGGCTCTGGCCAATGAATACATTTCCATCCCTGCCGAAATCTTCACGCTTCCTGCGTAAGTCTCTTTCATTTCTGACTTCCTACGATGTATCATTGTTACTAACGAGCCTAGTGGTGCTGGTTCGGACTACATGTCTTATACACAGCTTGGCTATCCCGCTGCCTTTGCCTCGGAAGGCAACCCGGCTGCTGGTGAATACGACTCGTATATCCATACTGACAAGGACACAATGAACGTCGATGATGAGACTGGGATCTTTTCTCTGGAGGTGAGTAATCTCCGAATGCTTTTGCAAAACAACTTGCTAATGCCACCCTAGCACATGGCACGATTTTCTGAGCTTGCCATTGCGTTCGTCATCGAACAGGCTGGCTGGAACAACAAGTGGAGGTAAAGAGGGCCTGGCCACATGTAGCTATTTTGCCCCATCAAGTTTGTTATTAGCACACTTCATCAAGCCATCTATCTGAAATAGAAATCGTCATGTTTGAGCTGCCCTGTCGGCCATTTAATGACTATCAGCTTTGTGATATTGTGAGCTTGGAACTGGTAAGATAAGTGCTCGCCTCATATCTGTATCCTTGTAAATCTCAGCGTGAGTGCAGGCGTAGCAACCCGAAAACTCGCTTTGAGTGAGGGCCGATAGATGTGTGAAGGCTTATGGACTGGTGCTGAGAAAGCCGATCGTTGTCACAAAGCGAATATTCTACCGAGAGGTGGCCGAGCGGCGCAAAAAGGTAGACGTTCCCAGCATTTTGTAAGCCACAACCGCAGAGATGCAGACTTTTTTTCAAGCCTCTGCGATGATAGAGTTGTATCAATTTAAAGCCGTAGTAACGGTACCACTATTCGCTTAGGCAACAGGACAAAAAAGGCGACCGATGACCGGCTCATATGCCTCAAACAGCATCTCGGAGGATCCGTGACTTATAGGAACGTGATTAGCGCGCCGGAAACATTCAAAGTCGCGTGGAATTGGAGACCTTCCTAATTAGTGCTTCGTATTCTGAAGCATATCTGCGCAATAATATAGTAGCTCACTAATGAACGACAGCCCTTGGTTAGCACGTGAATATGGGCAAAGCCTTGTTTATAAACCTTTAAAGGGCCTCAAGATCCATGTAGACATACGGTGGAAGTTATAAACTTTTATAAGAGTGAGATCTCTCCCGCTAGCGTCATCGATCGGCAGTCGCCTACATATAATCAAAATGATCGTTACAAGCATCAGCTTACTCGCCATATTCGCGACCTACGCGTCAGCCTCCTCCTATTACACTGGGGGCGATACATCAGGTTGCGGCAAAAGTCACTGGTTCAACGGCATCCCGCAGATCCGCACTCTCACATCGAGCGGCGTGGATCGCAGCTATGGAATACACCTACCGTCAAATTACTCTGAGAATAACCAGTACCCAACCATCCTAGGTTTCCATGGCTCAAGTAGTATTGGCTTCTTCTTCGAGGCCGACACTGGCCTCGACGACTCCGAGTATACAGGAGACAAGATCATGGTGTATCCAAACGGGCTCGGGGGAGCATGGGCGGGCGCAAATTATTCTGCGGCCTCAGTCGAAGAAGATCTACAGTACGTCTGGGATGTGTTGGTGGACCTGAGGAAAAATTGGTGCATTGACAGTGCCCGGATTTATGCTACTGGCCTGTCCATTGGCGGAGGCTTTGTTGATACCATTGCTTGCAACGCCACTGTTGGCGGCGAGTTTGCGGCTTTCGCACCTGCGTCTGGGTCTTTCTATACCAACAACGATGATAATCACGAGAACTGTGAGCCTGCTCGTGTGCCTTTGCCAATTCTCGAGTTCCATGGCGGTGCCGACACAGACGTCAAATATGATGGTGGTGAAGGCGAAGGTGGCATTGAGCCCGCTATTCCAGACTGGTAAGTCCTTAAATACTCTCAGTACTTTATTACTTTATTTATCTATACTAACATCTGCATCTGTAGGCTGAGCTGGTGGGCGCAACGAAACGAGTGCGATGAGCAATACGAGCAAGAGGACTTGTTCAATGACGACGTCCACCACCTGAGCTGGACGTGTAATGGCCAGCCAGGCGTAGTACAGCACTACAAGACCGACGACCAGAGTATGAATCTCTAATACCTTTCAGTTCCATATTTGTAGGCTTATTGGACTGACACAATGATTTCTAGAGCACGACTGGGCTTCGACAGGCATCAACTTTTCGCAACTAGCGGCTGGAGACTTGCCAACGCACATCTCGGCCAGTGCCCTTATTCAGAGTTTTTTCTTGAGATTTACGCGTCCAGAGGCTTAGATATCTAATGACTATTCGCAATTTATACTCTTCGCAAAAAGCTCAATATACAAATTACCTTTACTGCTACTAGATGTATGAGGTGAAGTCACAAAGTCATTCGCAATAATTATTCATAATTTATTCTTTGGATCACCATCATTGGTAAAGTAATGCTACGAAATGCGCAGCTTCCATACATTAATTCACGCATGGAGGGAGCCGCGTTTTCGTGTTTCTGGTATAGTAATTGAGATGGCAATCTTTCTTCTTGATCAAGGAAATTTATTGCGCTATTACGATTAGCAGTGTAACGCTGCAATTAAACTGAGCCTTTACAACGAGGGCTCCACTAACGAGAGAATACGGAAAGAAGAGGCAACGCGATTTCGATCATTCTTCTTCTTATTATAAAATGCTACAAGGTAGCTGCCATTTCGTAATACTGCTCAGATTCGTCTTTGGGGTTGCCAGCGAAGCTTACAAGAGCTGTCGGAGGTCTTTGGGAAAATCTTGGCACTGGCTCGTAGCTACCTACCCAAAATGGAATTTTTTCCCCTTCAAGTACAAGTCCAGAGCTTAATTCTGTGAGAATAAACTTAAGTTAAATATTGGACAGCTTAATAATTCGTGTTAGTAAACAGCTATTGGATCACAATACACTTATACCTTTGTGACGATGTGGTGGCTGCTGAGGTCAGATCTTGTGAAACGAGACGATCGTTATAAAAATCTTCTTATAATGTGAAGTGAACCCCAGATTCCGTTCTGAAGAATGAAATATCCAAATTTCCTTGACTGAAAAATATCTTAAAGACGTATTGTAACTGAAATTGGCTTCCTTTAACTTTTCTACTTTTTTTCCTCAGCCTCCGGATCTTTATAGCGCACGACGAAGGGAGCAAATATGCTTACTGAACTTGCTATGGACTCTGTCAAAAAAGCTGTATGTCTATTACATTTCTCTGAAACTAACACGGCTAACAAATGATAATTGTAGACCTTGATCCTTCATGAAAAGCTAGGTGCCAATAAGGTGATCTTTCCTAACGATAGCCAAGATACCACTCATCGAAGCTCCGGTGAACGGGATCCCTCTTTCTATATGCTTGCTCAGGCGACAGAGGTCACTCCTGCTTGCAGTGTTCTCCCAGCTGATACTGAAGATGTCGTATCAGCAATTGATATTCTACGGGAGGCTGGAGCTACATTTGCTGTCAAGTCTGGTGGCCACAGCACGTATAGTACTGGTTCAAATGTTGAAAATGGTATCGTTATTAATCTATGCCACTTAAAAAACATCAATATCTCTGTGGATCAAAAATCTGTTACTGTTGGAAGCGGCTGCAGGTTTGGCGAGGTTTATAGCAAGCTGGCAGATCTGAAGCTTGGTTGCGTTGGAGGAAGGGTTTCGAGCGTTGGGGTCGGAGGGCTTGTTTTGGGAGGTATGGTGTATTATTCCAGGCCTTCAACCTCCTTTGCAATGTCACGCTAATTGACTAATAACTATAGGTGGAATTTCCTTCTTTTCTTCTGAGAGAGGACTTGCGTGCGATAATATTATAAGCTACGAGGTAAGAGTTTATTTCTTTGAGTCGCAATTAGCACTGGCTGAAAACAAGTAAAGCTCGTCCTAATTAGCGGCCAAGTACTCAAAGTCACTCGGGAATCATATCGTGACCTATTCTGGGCTATGAGAGGCGCTGGCTCGTGTTTTGGAATTGTTACTCGTTTCGAGCTCAAAACTTTCGAAATGGGAAAGATTTGGGGAGGTACTCGAACATATGCTCATGAGCATGAGACGGCAGTCTTTGACAGCTTTGACACATTTGTTCAAACAGGAGCCGTAGCCAATGCTCTGGCACAGGCATACATCATTGGAACTGACGCCGCAAAAGATGGTAATTACATTTATAGTGTGACTATGTCCCACGGCAGTCCTGAAGAACCTCCGGTTTTTGATGACTTTAAACATCTTACGCCTCTTGAATCCACGACTCAAACTCGCACTCTGAAAGACCTTTGCGACGAACTTGACACCCACATGGAAGCCGGTATTAGGTATCTAAGCATTGATGGAAAAGAGAAGCATCCAATGAGCAAAGAGCTGATGGAGTTTCTTAGGTATCATATCCTCGCTTTGTCCATCAAATATGATCGCGAAACATTGAAGGAGATTATCGATCTCTATGCCGAAGGAGCGATGCTTTTAAAAGACCAGGATGATTTCGCACCAGCATTCGTATGCCAACCCCTACTCCCAAGCATGCTGCCAAAGGATGACATCGGGAATCCTATGGGGATTAAGCCTGAAGATGGGCCATTGATATGTAAGTTGGGGCTATGCACATTGACATTAGATATCTGCGTATTGACACATCATACAATAGTATTTACTCCTGTTTGGAGGTGGACAGAAAAAAAGCACGATGAGGCGATCCGTAAGGCAGCAAATATATTCGAGGAAAAAGCTGAAAAAGCTGCTCGATCCCGTGGGAAATTCCACAGGTACAGAGTTCTTAACTATTCCACAGCTCATCAAGACGTTTATGGTGGTTATGGCGAAGAAAACAGGAAGCGCCTTCTGGAGATAAGAGACAAGTATGACCCGGTCGATATTATGTCAAAACTTCGTCCCGGTATTATACAGCTCCTCCCTCAGAAAAACACTGGTGTATATGGGAGTGATATGTAACTTAACTTTGCATGAATCTCACTTTAATTCTATATTTTCATCGTGATCCCTTCCAGAAGTACATAACTATACGTAGCAGCTATCCTGTGCCCTGCTACTTCTTGTATCTGTTGATTGCCATGGACACTCTTGCACCTGATGACCGCTCCCGTGGCTTTCAACCCTGTCAGAAATTGTTTGGGTAATGACGGTAGACACTGGGATAACGTTTCTGTCATCCCTCTGCGACCCTTCCCATCCGATTGGTTGCGGCGATGATGTGACAATTTCCGGTAGCTTATACTGATACTGTTCTCGGTGGCTCCACGTAGGGCTATTTAATCTCTCTTTTAAAGCGTAGTCTCTTGGTGTAACTGAAAAGCTTCTTGGACGGAGAAGCGACATCGATCGAAGAGAAGAGTATAGCCTGCTTTGTGAAAATATTTTGAGCCACCAACTGTACACACCTGGCGCGCAGCTAACAATGATCGTTCCAAAAGTGTCTACATATCTGTAGTGATCTTAGCTTCAAGCCTTACGTCGTAGTCATGTAATGTCAGACGTGCGAACTTACGCGGTAATAGATACATTCGCTCCATTCCAGGTTGGGTCGTCAGTGCTGTTCATGACGATTATTCTGTAAGCGAGTCCAACGGTACTTGTCACAATGATGCTATGCATGATAAGTCGTCGTTAGAATGTAGACTCGGGCTTTCCAGTAAATAGATGTTGGATTGCGGAAGGACGAAACTCACGCAAAGCCAATTAGAAACACGATGATCAGACCGCGCTTCTTGTTTTTGTCCATATTGAGACTTGAAATGATAGGAAAAGGTAGGACAAATATGGCAATGTCAATCAACAGTGTGCAAGCGCCAACAGCTACAGTCACCGGCGCACCGGTACCGCATCTCATCATAAGCTTGAAGTCCCAAATCTCGTGCCCATGCGGAACGCAGAGCACTGCGAATAGGCCTATATGCGTGATTGTTCCCATGGAAAGTAAGACGAAGAGGGCATAGCAGGCAATTCGAACCCACCGAAGGCTGCCAAAGACGCGGATAAAAAATGCCAAGATGGAGGCTTTGGAAAGCCAGTTGCCGATGGCGCCAAAGAATTGAGATACCACATGCCTCTGCAGAGGTTCGGGCAAAGAAGGCATCGTTAGCTTTTATCATGATGGTTTATTAGAGATACTTACTTTTAACACCCATGGCGAGACAACGCTTAGGGGCAGATCCGAAGCGTGTCTTCCAATACCTCTTCCCAGTTCTTTCAGTGAAGCATACGGAGATAAGCATCATGGCAATCACGATCGAACGATGGAAAAGCTCATTCTATGAAGTAAAGCTGGCTTACCGGCAGTCAGCAGCCCCCAATACACCAATACTGCGATCTCTGATCCGAGGCAGAAGCCTAAAAGTGTTAGATGGTTATCATTATGCTCAAAAATAGAAGAGACTTCTTAGTCTCTACTCACAGTCATCCAGAGATAGACGCCCGATATGTTTGTAGGAAGCATAGAGACGCAAGGTGACAATGATCGCGCTCAAAGCAATTATGATAGATCCAATTGCAACGTTTACGGGCGCCAATGAGGGGCCGCTCATAAAGTCTGGCGGGCTACCCTCTGGGTTTGGGGCAAGCGGCGTCAATGAAGGATCCATGTTGCTATTAAAACGAATCGTGTTATTAGAAAACTAGCGAGCAATTGAATGCTTCTTCTGAGAAAATGGAGCGACGCGAGGCATGAAAACGTCGGCAGAGCGATTGAATCCAGATAAAGAACTATTAGACTAGAGATGCGTAGGAGCACCGACACATCACTTTTTTGTCTCAACAGAAGTAAACCACCACAACTCAATTTTGCCCCCATGACACATGAAGGAATCTTGGCGTAGGTAACACAAGTAAAATAGCCACAGCGCTGCGCCATGCCACATCGAGCCGTGCTCCGCAAGGATTCTAGTAAGTCGACACATTTGCTTTGGATTTTGTGTCACCCGAATCCAATGCGAGATAATACGAGGTCAGCCTGATCCAAATCCTTATGCGACCTCGTCATGTAAGGGAGATATACATGTATGGCTGGAGACGCTAGCTAAGTTTATTTTCGGATGGCAGATCTTACTCCATGAAACCATGAAAGGAAATGATCTTCCCGCTGCAAAAAGGACCATCAGGGGGATTCAGTTACAGCCTTCGACATATTTCTACAGTATATGGCGTGGACGATGAACATCAGACGGAGATGTAGACGAAATAAGTACCCAATTACCGAATGTGATTCAGGTCCCGAGTGTTGACTCTTTATGTCTTGGTAGGGATTTTGAGACGAACGCGCGTTGCTGGCTATGCGAGGATTCATCCATAAGAATAGGAACAGATGGTTTCTTACTTCCCATAGGACTACAGAGCTCAGCCTTGCTCGCCTTAGACATCTTACGTGCATTTTAATCAATATACTGTTCTGTTTATATAAAAGCGATAAAGCTTCGAGAGTGTATATATATTGACAAGGCATAAATTTCGTCCACTATATGGAGAGTAAGCCAGTGTCATATTACTTCTCTGTGTATACATTTCTCTATCTACGCATCAATACTTCTTCCCAATTATGGATCCCTTAATCTCTTTAATCTTTGGCAGCTTTGTTATCTACCTTCTCTTCATGCCTACTTCGTCCAATAAATATGGCTATTCATTGAGCTCAGCCAAATCAGGCACTCTGGCATATATGCCAAGCCTATTTGCGGCAGTAAAACAGCGCTTCGACGCCTGGATGTTTCTGTTTAGAGGGCCTAGTATGATCCAAGAGGCATATGTAAAAGTAACTGTCTTCCTTAGATATGACTTTGTTCCATCTTGACCTATATCTCTAACCCAAATGGTAGGCCGAGGGAAACCCATTCTGGATTCAAGCACCTGAGAATCGGTATCTCGTAGTCTCGTCATGGGAACACATCAAGGAAATCGATGCTGCCTCAGAGGATGTGCTCTCTCTCCAGGCTGCTGCTAAAGAGATATTGCAGCCACGATATACGATGCAGAACTTCAACTGGCTTGACAAGAAAGGAGCGGATGGAATGCCGCTTATCAGAACGCTCAGGACTCTTCTCACGAATCACCTCCCCGACATCTTGCCAGATGTTCGCCGGTCCATGTCTGTTCTCCTTGATCGCACACAAGATTCGCGGCCGATTGTAAACGGTAAGTTATCGCCTAGATGTTGTACTGGAATGCGCTGTTAACGGTTCAAAAGGATCTTACACTTCACCAGTTTTCCCAATAATCATTGAAGCAATCTCCGTCACGAATGCAGCCGCTTTCTTTGGAAGCGAGCTTAGTAAGTAATCAAGCCCTGCATGCAATCTAGAGTATAACTCTTTCAGCGGCTAATACTCCATGATTGTTAGGCCGCGATAAAAAATTTATGGCCGCGGCAATTGGCTTCATTGAGCAAACTCTTTTGGCCGCAGAAGCTATACGCGTGCTTCCCAAAGCCATCGCACCGTAAGAAATTATTCGCATGTTCACAGACCATTTCTAACATTGGCAAAACAGGTTTATTGGCAACATGATAGCGAAGAATCTTGGCTCGGGTAAGGCCATATACGATGCATTGATACCTATCGCCGAGGAACGACTAGAAGAGAGAGCGCAAAAGAAACTCGGACATGTTGTGCCTGAATACGTATGTACTCCCCTCCTTAATGCAGATCTGTCATCATGTTTCGCGCTGACAAGTATGACAGCATGACTGCATACAATGGGTCATGGAATGTTCGCCAAGATCAAAGCCATGGTCTGCGGAGAGAATAGTCCATGAGCTTATGGCACTTTGGTTCGGCTCAGTGCATATAACCTCAACGGTAATAAGTCTCTGTATCCTGTTCGCGATCGTTCAAGCTAAAGATAGAATCATGTTAGACCGCTTGCATTGCTCTACATCACCTATGTCTTCACCCAGAGTACGTTGAACCCCTAAGAAACGAAATTGAGAGTACTGGATGGGCCCAGTTCGAACAATCGGGAGGCAAAGCCTTCCCTCTGCTAGACAGCTTCATGAAAGAATCCGCCCGGATCAATCCTGTAGAATCAGGTGAGCCAACTCAAACCCCAAAGAATATTCCGACAGCATTGAATACCGAGTAACAAGTATTTTAGTGAGCTCTCGCCGCATGGCTCTGAAACCTTTTAAGTTGTCCGACGGCACTAGAATCGAGGCAGGCGAATGGATCTGCACTGCTGCTCGAGGTATGATGTTGGATGCGCGCTATTACACGGCTCCGCAAGAGTTCCAAGGCTTTCGATTCGTTGATTCCAGCATCCTTAAGAATAAGCTTGCCGGCGAATTTGTTTCACAAGTGCAGGGGACGCCATCCAACTTTACCGACATTGGTGACTGGCAGCTATGGGGCACAGGACGTTCTGCATGGTAAGCATTTCGCGTGTATTTTTATACAGCATCCTCATCCCCAGACTGAGACAACCAGGCTGACACTGAGAACTAATGCACACAGCCCTGGCCGATTCTATGCGACCGCAGTCATGAAGACCCTCCTTGCATTGTTTATCACCAAGTATGACATGCAGCTTGAGGAAAAGGCCACTGCCCGATACTTCGCTTGGCGTACTTTCATCTACCCGTATGCAAGCACTAAAGTGATTCTCCGCCCTCGGGCTGCTCTATAATCATTTTTTTCTCTAGAGAAAGAAAACTGCGAGACAGATATGTTTGTTTGATAGTAGCTAGATTTTTTTTTCCTTGTTTCGTATCGCTATAGACCAGAATGTTCAGATACGCATCTATTGAATTGAGTATTGCTTTCTGACACAATCACATGGCTCCTTCTAAGCGACATACCAAAGGCGGAGTAGGTGACACAGCCGTTGGCTTCAACCAAGACATGTGCATGCAGCCAGAGGATTCGACGATCATACACAAAACCAACAGCAAGAGTGTGTCCATGCGGCTTGCCTGCCTGTTGAGACAGTGTGAGCTCTACGCGAATTTAAGGGAGCGATTTCTTCTCATTTCTGACCACAAATCCATCCATCGGGCTCTCATCTGGCAAACATTTCTATCTACTAGTTCGCGAACTCTACGTCGTACTATTGAACAGCCTGCAAAGAGCTACGGCGACAGACTCTTCCCGCCACCATGTTTGAACAGTTTGCTTGGCGCCATATCGTGCCCTTATTCGTCGCATCGGCCACGACATTCGGCGGCCTGTGGCCATTTTGGGCGCCGCGAGATGCCATGCTCGAGTTTGGCCTGCCAGCGCGCATCGCAGACTCGCCCACTGCGCAGCCCGTCATGGTGGTTTCCTCGGCCCGTACCACCGCTCTAGGACTGTTGATGTTCATCTTCTACCAGCAAGGCAAATTCGCTGATGTGGATATCGTCATGTCGGTAATGGGCGCCTATCTGGGCGTTGCGGACGGTTATGTGTGCTGGAAGGAGGGAATGCCCGACAAGGCTGTGTTTCGCTGTGTCTCGGGCATGGTGATCGCCGGCTGCGGGATGGTTGGATTGACGGAAGGATTTTGAAGGGAGGATAGGAATAAGGGACCAACGAAGGATCCGAACCCCATGTCCAGAATAGAATTGTAATTGGAGAAACCATTGGATAGGGTTGGGGGCCAAGATAGCTTTAAACGCACGGTTACGCAACCGGCTCCTGTGTCTCGCCGAGAGCCTCGGAGGATTGGCCCACGATGTGAGACATGGTTTAGAGATCGACAGAGTGCAGCGTAGCAATCTAAAAACAAATGACTGCCGTGTGAATATGCAGAGGAATGAGTGCACTGGTTGCAACGTAAGGAGAGTCATATTGGGGCAATGCAAGTAACCGGACAGTTCACTAAGCCTTGGACTCGCATGCGCTGCGTAACATTGCGTCAAATGGATCACAAATCGGATGCTTCCTAACAGCTTTCAGCTCTTGAGACTGTTCTACTATACGAGCGCGCCTTGATGGGTTATCGGCATACGGGCCTTTGTTCATTGCATACACGAATTGGTGCCTGTTCATGCCACCGAAGAAGTCGTCATATTGGACCAACAGCGATCCCCTATTAACTGCAGAACCACATACTTTCTCCGAAGCATAGAACAAAGAGGGCAAAAAACCATCGTATCCTGCGTATCGCAGTCGT